AATGCAGGCACTCTATGACTTGAGTCCTAGCTCCAGCCCTTTCTGCTTTAGGTTATTTAGGGTCTTGAATTTTTTTCCCAGGCTGGTCTTCAACCTCGATCCCCTTCCCTATGCATACTGTGTGTTTGGGATTGCAGATGTGCACTACCACACTTGTCTTGTTTGTTGATAACTTTTTGTCCAGGCTGGCCTTGAACTGAAACCTCTGGATCTCCTCCTCCTGAGTAGCTGGGATTAGTGTTGTGAATACCACATCTGCTATTTTGTTGAATTTTAATCTTCCTTACTCTGTCTTCTTTTCCTTAAATTCTTTTAGGAAACATTTCATTAAATTCTTGTCTAACTATTTTACTTTCATATATTTTTTACAATTTATTTGGCCAAGTTAATTCAATTACATTCCATTTTATACCTAATTGAGTTCTTCATAAGGTATAAGATGACTTTCCTACCATTACCTTGTATAATTGAATCTTTACTTTCTAATAACCCTGTGACAGTCGCTATCATAAACACTATTTCCCATTGGTACCTGAAGTGCTACGTTGGGTTTTGGAAGCATATTCACATCCCAAACAGAAAAATAACAAAGTACTTGGCTGTGTGTTCTAAAAATATAATTCCAAATTTAATTTTTCAAATGTCAAAACTCCTATGTAGCAAACTGACAGCACCTTTAGCTCCTTGACTTGTTGAAGGGTCTATCAAACCTCAATGCCAAACCTTTCTCTCTCCCAATTTCTTGCCACAACCATGATCAAGTCATTTAGCTAAATCATTTTATCTCCACTTACAAACTGTGGATAATAACTACATCTGAGCCTTATTTGCTATATGCCCTATGTCTACTTATCTGTTTTAAGATAAGTAACCATTTTCTTGCTATGAGAATGGGAAGAAAAAATTAAATAATCACTGAATTTTCCCTTCCATTAAGTAAACCTTAAAATAGATTTAAAAAATCTGAATGCACCTGCATTTTCAATTCCTTGGAGTAAGTTAACCGGTGTTACTGAAATTCTTGACAAGTCTTGTAATCACCACGGATTTATACAATGACTTTTATGAAGGACATTAAATAAAGGAAATATTCTCTTTTTCTGTTAAGCCCTTGCCTTAAACTTTTAAGGGGATCAACATGGTATGCTAGATCTCAGGGTTTCACTGTGGCGTGTGGGCAGACAGAGGAGAGCTGAGGACCACCATAGTGCTGGGATTTCCTCTGTCCACAGCAACATCCCCACCAGAGACGAGACACAAGAGGAGCCTGCTGCTAAACTGACTTCAGAGGAGAGATGTAAAAGCCAATAAATAACTGCAAGTGAAATGCTTTGACAGGTAAATGGGCTTTTAAAATATTCGTGTAGATCACATTTTCTAATCAAAGTATTCATTACTGTCAGGTATCATAAGAGCACATGCCCCTCGGGAGTTGGAGACCTCCAGGTAGAAGGTCATCATTTAATTAAGACCAATGCCCAGGGCAGCAAGCAGCCCAACAAATGTTAGTGAATGAAGAAGAGCAAGGGCCAGTATAAACTGTAAGGTCTCACCTCTGCCAGGACTGCGTTCATTAAGAAGCACGTGAAGGCCCCAAATTTCTTGGATTCCTTTAATCCATACATGACTTTTCATCCAATGACACCACCACTCAAGCCATTAACAGAGAAAAACCATGCTGGACAAACTTCTGCTTCTCAGGGCTTTGCACTGCGCCCCTCACCAGGCTCATCTTCAAAGACACTGCTTCACTTCCTACTATCATTGGGATGTGACTTTCACCCCTCAAACCATCTGCAAAGAATTTTGAAAGAATAGCACTTTTGCAGATTTTGAAGTCTCTATAGCTGCTTTTTCTCTCTTAGAGAGAAATCTTTTGCAACTGAAGTAAAAAAGATTTCAGTCATCTCTCTGATCCGGGGTGAGTGGAGTCACATTCATGGTTAGGCAAGAAATGACCTATTTATTTTCCTACAATTCCACTGGAAGTAAGTCTCTGAGGACCTGGTTAGTCTATAAGTAGAAGCTCACAGAATGTTCATCATGTCACTGGTTGAAGGAGAAGCCATCCAAGTGGATTTAGATAGATGCAGGTTGTGTTATAGGAACGGCAACTCCCCAGATCCCAAATTAGTGGGATAGCATCATTTAAAAAGTGAAGCGACTCCCAGCCAGTGAGAGATGGGCAAATACAGATGAACAGAAGCAAAGCACCTGCAGCTGTGGATGGAGTGGGCACGTCCTGCCACCTGTGGTCTGGGTGTGGGCATGGATTGACTGACCCCTACTGCTTTGTTCTCCAGGGTCCCCTGCACAGGTCTCAGGATTTCCTTCAGGATACATCAGACCAGAATCACTCCAAATCCCAAAGGGAAAAAGACCCTCAGGAGGTCCCCTCCTCCTAGTTCATTTTTATAACTTCCAGAGAGATTCCGAAAGCACTAACCCAATACCCTGAGATTGCTAAATTGTAACTTGGCTGAGAACAGAGAAAGGTGAGATGGCCAAATTGGTGTCTCCTGCAGGGTCCAAACTGTTCTGAGAAATGCAGCGAGTGAGAAATGACCGTTCTGTAAGACCAGAGATGAAACAAAACCACTGCTACTTTGAAGAGCACCATTACCAGTGACTGTGTGCCTTGCAGCTAATACAGCTTCCCCTTAGATGGCCCTATTGGAAGGACTTTATTTAATCCTCAGGACAATCCTAAGAGGGGGAAATGACTAGGTCTCAGTAGAGAAATGGGAACCTAGAGAAGTTAAGTAACTTGCCAAAGTTATTTAAAAAATAATGCCTGAGTTGGGGCTCACCACCAGGTGACCCTTGCCATCTGACTCCTATCTTTTCCCTTCCCTGAAAGACAGCGTGCCCAGGGCAAGCACTGTGCTTGCTATGAGCAAGCTTCAAACGAATCCCAGATTATACAAAAGAAAAGCAGGAGAGACAGAGACCTGGTTGTAGGCACTGTTCTCTGTGCCACACCCAGCAAACTTCCAGGGAAATAAGACCGGGTCACTCGGCAGGAGCTTCAGTGCAAGAAGTTGATTTATATCTTAAGCCTTAAACATTAAAATGAGTTTTTTCCCAAATTTGCTTCCTTGGAACTTGGGGTTTTGAAGTTGAAATAAAAGGTAGGAGAAGCATTCAAACATGATACTCGAAAATACTGAATAACTGAGTTTCATTCCCTCTTTCTTTTGTTTTGCCTAGCCTTCAAGGACAGATATTTTTCAACTTAAGTATGTTGACAGTCATGGAGGTGACTAAAATATCCAGTGTATCTTAGTGAAAAGCTATTTTTAAAATCACTTGATTTAGAAAATTCCAATCATGGTAATTCCACGGGACTTCTTAGTACACAAATTAAAAGTTTTAAATTACTCTGCAATAATTTGTGAATTCAAATAATCTTAATTAGAAAATACCTCACCAATGCATATTTATCAGGCATCTTCCATGTCTGCCCAGATACAAAATTATTCTGAGGGTTGTTTTGTGAGTTACAGTTCTTTTGGTAATGGGAGATCAGGAGTCAGAAATGGGAGATCAGGAGTCAGAAAGTGTCGATGCTGTTCTCTCCTGACAATGCTGGCCATATTTACTTCCTGGGTTTGAGAATGTGAAGTCAGTTTCCTGGTGCCTGACAAGGAACAACAATTCCCTTCTCCAAAACATGGTTTCATGGTCCAGGAGTCAATGCACATGTGAATTTAGTAAGCCACAGGGCTGACAGCATGCTAATTAAACTGCAAGCCACCTATGGGGACAGCACATGTCAATGATGGAGGCCGATGTAGAAAGGTATGAATCAACCTGAGAGCTGACTGTGTGGCTCGAGCAAGTGCAAAACCCTGAGTTCAAACCCCAGTACTGCCAAGAAAAAAAAGGGGACCAGAGAGGGGCCAGGAGGTGAGCCACTTGCAGGGGAAGGGAGCCCTTCCAGTCTCTCCTGCCCAGGGCCCTTTCCTGCATCCGGTGCCTCCCTCCCAGAACCAGAACATCCAGGCCAAGAGGTTCCCTAACTATAAGGCCCATAAATGATGAAGGGGGGGTTGCTCTTTAGGTACCCCACTATTAGTTCCCCCTCAAATTGTCGCTGAGAATGGGGTACATTTCATCAAGAGTTACGGAGGAGGGGGCGTTCCAATGCCTGAAGAGAAGCTGCAGAGATCATCAAAATACTCCTCCCTCTAATTGTCCCTAGGGTTTGGGGTGTGTCAACTCCTGACCTTGGGTGAGTCTGGCCCGGCTTAGCTCACTTGAGAAACGAGAATAATAGTAACTATCCTACAGGGACGACATGGAGACCGGGAACAATATCTGGAGGGCCTCTAACAGGGCAGGCACTCAGTAAGCAGTCCAGAAATGGCACCCATTGTACAGTAAAGAGTTCCTCTAACGAAGCCAGCTGTTAGCCTTTCCACACCCACCAGAACAGCTGAACCCCTTTTGCTTGGAACAGAACATTCATCAGCAGAGTCCCAAATAGATGTCTGCATGCTACCTTGGCTCCATCCCGCTTCAGACTCTAGTGAATTAAGGCTGCGCTTGCTGTATGCACATTGCAACATTATTCTATAAAGGAACCTTGACTTAACAAATAAAACGAATGCCACCCACTGCGTCAAGTCCAAGTACAGTCAGCCACATGGGGTGCTCTGAACTTTCCAACATAGTCTCACTTCACTTTGGGCTGCTTGTTTAGGGGCAGAGGTGGGGCGTGGGGACAGACTAAGGAGCAGCCCAGGGGGGCTGCTGTCCTTACTGAGGTGCTCAGTGTGACCACCAAGCGGCCCTGGCGTTGGCCCCCGCCCAAGGGTCCGCCAGGCCCGCGGAGGTAGGCGGGAAAAGGGCGGGAGTCCTCTGTGTCCACCTCGCCGGGTCCCAGTGTCCCGCACGGCGCCAAGCAGAGAGGTTAGGACCGCGGGGCGCATGCAGCTGTTAGTACCCCCCGCACTCCTGCGGCCCGCGCTCGCCCCGCGGACCCAGCCGATGCTTACAATGATCCCAGCCCAAAATGGAGTGTCTCTGACTAGCAGGGAGGAGCTGGTGCCAGCCATGAGGAAGCCCACCACGGTCACCGCGATGCCCAGCGCCAGCTGCAGCAGCGCCAGCAGCAGCGGGAAGCGGCACCCGCAGCACGTGCGCGCCGCGTCCTCCGCGCGCGGTTCCTCAGGGCTAGCGGCGTCCGCGTCCTCGGCCGTGGCCTTGGCCTTGGCCATGGCGGCTGTAGCTGCGGCCGTGCGGCGCCCGAGGACCGACTGACCGACGAGCGGGCGGGGCCGGCTGCCTGGTATTCGGGTTACGGAGGCTGAGCAAATATGGAAAGCATTTGGAGCCACTGGGCCTCCCGGGCCTCTAGCGCAGGGGGAGTCGAGGGGGGTCGCCAACTGCCAACGCGGCGGGGCGCAGCGCCGGCCTTCTGGGGCCGGAGCACTTCAGATGTGTCTGCAAGAGTTTGCGTGACTTATACTCTCTACAACAAAATTAGAGATAAGGGCAAAATAGTTTCTGCTGGGTATTGAGGGGGGGGAGCGGGAGGGGGTGGAGTGGGTGGTAAGGGAGGGGGTGGGGGCAGGGGGGAGAAATGAACCAAGCCTTGTATGCACATATGAATAATAAAAGAAAAATGGAAAAAAAAAAGAGTTTGCGTGACCGTGACCGTGCATTGTGAGTGTGCGTGTGTGCACGTGAGTGTGCATGTATGTCCATGTGTGTGTGAGTGCATTCTGTGTGCGTGTGAGTGTGTGAGCCTGGGCCTCCTGAGGTTGGAGCACTTCAGACAGGCTGCAGGGGAGCGAGTGTGGATATGTGATACTGCATGTGTGTGTCAGCATGTGTGTGATTGTGCTTGTCTAAGAGTGTGCATATGCGAGTGTGTGCAAATGTGTGTGTGAGCCCAGGTCTCCCAAGGCCAGAGCCCTCAAGACAGGCTGCAGGGAAGCATATGTGAGTATGTGTGCGTGTGCGTGTCTGTGTGTGCGTGTGTCTGTGTGTGAGTGTATGTACCTGTACAGTGTATGTTTTCCTCACTCAGAACTCAAGGATCTCTTTGGTTTTGTTTTTGTTTTCTGGGAGGTGCAATGCAAGGTGATGAATGTTTAAATCATTTGAATTTAATTAATAGACTATTTAATCCAAAATAGGCTTTGCTGGGCTACAAGCTGTGAAGTGTTTCCAAAAGTTAAATGTTTTCATTTTCCAACAGAGTCACACTCTTCTCTAAGTCCACCTGACAAAGAAGGCATTTCCCCCACTGAGGTATTGCTTTTGAAATAACTGTTTATAGAGGTGCCAGACTGGTTGTGAACACTCCGACATGCATCTGTTTTTTAAAAGTTCTTTTAATGGCCTCCATGGAGTCCCCAGTCAGGCTTCATCACCCCCAGGACAATGTCCAGGGGGATTGTCCACCCTAACCAGGGACAGTTGTACACAGGCAACATCAAATGGCTGTCTTGAAAACACTTACAATGTGTTAGGATAGAAGGATGGTCAAGACAGAGGTAGGCCTACCTGTTCCTGCCCAAAGGCACAGAACAAGTCTGTAAAACTCGTTCATCTAGTTCTGCGCACCTGTACTCAGTAGCAACCAGGACAGATGTCAGTGAGACCACTAAGAAATGATCCCTTCTCTGTGAGGTACTTATACCTTTTCCATATGGTCCTCTTAACATTTAGAAAACTGTGTTCAAAAACAGCTGATACTGGGAAGATGTCAGGGTACATAAATGAAACTTACTCCTAGCTTGTTTGCAATCAGTTAATTTAAAGAAAGTCTAACTCCTGTGGATCCTTGGCATTATAACTAATTGTTATAGCTCTGCCTGTACATTGCATATCCCCCACAAGGTGCCTTTGAAGACATAAAATACATCCTTCACCCTGACTTATTTTATAAAATTCAGTATTTTCCTTATACTTTCCTCTAGACACTAAGAAAAATACGATCCATGGGAAAAAATGCAGTAACTTAGAAGATAAACTCCAAATCACATCCCCTCTCTACCAAGAGGCTCACATGCAAGGGTCCAGAGCAGCCAAGCAATGTCATGGTCACTCAGCTCCGAGGCCATCGCACCATCAGGACTTTTACTGTGAACACACAAAAGCTGGCATCAGAGCAAGACACCCACCTGACCCAGAACAACCCACATGACAAACTAGAACAACACTTGCTTTTGATACATAAATGTCGTCAACATTATCGGAAGCCAAGTGACCACCTGTAACTATTTGCATTAATAATACAGCTACCAGTCACTGAGTACCTATTCTGTCACAAGCGCACCTCCATGCCATGCATTGTGATTATAGCGTCCATTGTTAAATGAAAAGTATTGATTATCAGAATTACTACGTAACCAGCCTAGGAAGTCACTCGCTTAGTTAGGGGTGAGGTAAAGAAAACCAGGTGTGAACTTCAGTGCCAGTGGTCTTGTGCATAACCCGTTTCATTAATTACTTCCTGTGTATATACTGCCCATAGGCAAGCAGTGGACTATTTACATCATTTTTCATGTTAAGTAATTTAATTTAATGATCATTTGTAGTATTGTTTCTATTGCAGAATTAGCCTTGAACCTACGACCATCTGAGCACTTTACAAAAGCATCTTGATTCACTACTGTAAATTGCAACAGTCAGTTCTAGGTGGTGAATGTTTGGTCCTCACCATGGTGCTATGGAAGGGGCTGAGAAGCTTTCAGAAGGGAGGTCTGGTGGGATGTTTTCAGTCATTGGGGTTTGCCTTTGAAGGGATTGTAAGACACAGTTCTCTCCCTCTCTTACTTCTGTGCCACACAGCAAGTGGACATCCTCTGCCTGACACTCCCCCCATGGTGGCTGGAGTCTGAAACCTCCAGAACTGTGAACCAACCCAACCCTTCCTCTATTTGGGGTAGGGGTGGGGAGCAATAATTCAAACATGCTTGCTAGGCAGGTTGTCTACTACTTGAGCCATGCCACTGTTCAGTATTTTGGTTTTTTGGTGGTACTGGGGTTTGAACTCAGGGCTTTGCAGTTGCTCAGCAAGCACCCTACCACTTGAACCATACCTCCCACTTCTCTTTTTAAGTAGACTTATCTCAGGTATTTGTTATATTTCAGAAAGCTGACTGACCCATGGAGGAGACCACTTATCCATTAGGGCCTGAAAGTGGGCAGCACCAAGTCCTTTGTATACTACACTTCTTCCTGTACATTCCTGTGATAAAGTTAAATGTATAAGTTAGACAAAGTCAGAGAGTAACAACAACTGGTAATAAAATAGTGCAATTATAACAATATGCTGTAATAAAATTTACATAACAAATTATTAGTTATGAAAATTTCCATTTAATATTTTTAGAAAGCAAAACTATATTAGAGAAATGACTGCATGTTGTTGGAATAAGGCCTTCCTTGTAATTGCCCGGCTGACATTAGTTACAAATGAAACCGGCAGCAGAGAGCAACATCCAGGGTAAACCGCTTCCTTCTAATCTGATTAACACTGCCTGCTTCCTTTCCAGCTTCCAAAGAACAACGCAGCGGTGAGGGGACCTCACACCTGCTAAGACTCCCAACAGCCTGGGCGAACCTGGGTTTGAGGAGGCCTGGTGTTGGGCAAAATCATGAGATATTGTGATGAGGATGATGCTTTTGCTGAAGTGCTACACGACAATAGAAACAAAGAGAGAGAAGTTGTTGCCAGCTGGTTACTGAGGGAAACAGGTGATCAAGGCTGGTGAGACGTGACTGTCATACATCTTAAGATGTAATGAAAAAGCTCTTCTTTAAAGGTTCTTGTCACTGACAAAAATCACCATTTCTAGCTTATCACACAGTTTAACAGAAACACAGTTTAACTGTGTTTAACTGATAAACACAGTTTATCAGAAGTTATGATGTCACTATTTCAGAGGCTAAGCATTAACTTCTTCAGATATTTATATTATTGAGAGAAAGGCAGAGTAGAAGAGTTTTTAGATACCCTTGGCTGCTTTCATAATTCAAAACCAACAGAGATTGTAAATTAGGACTGTGAGAGAGTAGTTAATATGATATTATTCTGATTCCAGAAGGAAAACCAACATCAAGCTCAGTGTCTTTGCAGTCTGTCTCAAACTTAGCATCATCTTGGAGCATTCATGCTTCAGAAGTTCAGAACAGGGAAGGTGGTGACGCCTTAAAAGAAGTGTCGTTAGCGCCACGTCCTCAGGAAATCCAACTAGAAGTAATCTCTAAACTAACATAGCTCTGAGCATATGATCATTTCCAAGGTTTGTATCGTCTTTTTACTAAGTAATTAAATACATATAAACCCTTCAACAAGATTTGACTTAAAGTGGTATCAAATACTCTGTGTAGAGTAATTGGGAAATTGTTTGTAACATGCAACACCATGGTCCCCAAATGTCTCACTGGCTGGCCTCTGTCCCTAAAATGACTCAGAGACGTTGCCCACCTCTGTGTGCATCTGCAAATCCCTCTTTCCCCGTTTACTCATATGTCTATGGCTTAATTTGAAATATATCTTTTGACCCAATTTTCTCTCAAAAGAACTGACCCGTTTATACTTTAAGTTAAATGTCATCTAAGCAATGTTCTCTTTATGGTCAAGGGAGGGCTTGTGACTTTCTCATCTCATTGAAACTCTGTAAAGCTGATAATTTTCAGCCGGGCACCGGTGGCTCACACCTGTAATCCCAGCTACTCAGGAGGCAAAGATTAGGAGGATCTCGGTTCAAACCCAGCCTGGGCAAATAGTTCACAAGACCCTGTCTTGAAAAACCCCTTCACAAAAAACAGAGCTGGTAGCACGGCTCAAGGTGAAGGCCCTGAGTTCAATTCCCAGTACTGTAAAAAAAAAAATTTACCTTTCATTCATAATGCCAAAATATTCAACATGTAATTTTATACGAGTGATTTTGGTGTATCCTCTACATGTAGTAACAAACAACTAGTTAATTTTAATTAAAGAACAGATGAACAAATCACAGTATAGTCTACTTTCTAGTAAGAAAAGGAGTGAACTGTTACTGATACAGAAAACAACTTAGATGGGTCTCACTGTGTGTTGAAAGAAACCAGCCACCAGACAATACATACTGCACAATTCCATTCATATCGAAAACGCTGAAGGCAACATGAATCCATAGTAATAGAATTCAAGCGGTTGTGGAGTTGGGGTGAAGGAACTGATTAGAAGGTGCAGAGGGGACTTTCTGGGTCCCTCTTTGGAAGTGAGCACTCAAGGTCTGCTATTGTATGGA